ATATGGGGAGCAAAGGATTGATGTTTCTCTCTCATATTGATGTTTCTCTTTCTATCTCTCCCTGCCCCTCTTCCTCTCTCTCTAAAAATCTATAAACTTATTCTCAGGTGAAGTAAAAAAAAACAAAAAACTTTCTGGGAATTTGATGGATTAACAGAAAATACAAATTTGAGATGTTTAGAGCACCAGAGATCAAAGATAGATCCAAACCAGAAGATAAAGTATTATTTTATGTAAAATCAGGGATCTAACAGTGTAAGTTGGAGGTAGAAGAGTTTAGCATTTATGAGTTTGAACTCTCATACAGACTGTGCACTTTGTCATTTTGGGCAAGTCACTTAACCACTCAGGGTCTTACTTTCCTCTCTAAAATGGGGGTCTGATAATAGTACCGACTATGGGGGATTACTGGGAAGAGTAACTGAGATCATATATGCAAAAGACTATGTACTTGGCCCAGAATTAGTGCTTGACAAATAATGAATTAGACCAGCCCTTTTTTGTCCTCTCCACATTGCATCTACTACTCAGTTGTGATATTTAACATTGAAAACCATAGCTGATGTCTCAGAGAGAATGAGCAGGTTGTCTTTGTTTCTGTTCCCTCCCCTCAATCCACTCCCCACCCCCCATCAATTTACTATGAAACTAGACAGGACCAGGATACTTAGATATTGCTATTCATTCCCACAACAGTGAGAGGGACCTGCATAGGACCCACAGCATGCCCAGTTCCTTGGGCCACCTTAGAAAATCTTATCAGGACCTTGAGGCCCCAGTGGGGCTTCCTGGTCCAGTCTCCCCTAGGTGGCTCCCCTTTCTGGTCACACTAGATTTTGCTACCTGCCTGTATCCAAATCTGGTCTTAGATACTTGCCTGTGCCTGTGGAAGTGAAGAGGAGCATGTTCCTTTTACTGCAGATTTCTTTCTGAAGCATATGCACATTCCATTGCTCTGTACTAATGCTTTTGATTATGTGTGTGAGAGAAGTATTGAAGACAAGTACCTAATTATTTCTTAAATAAAAACAAAACCCAAACCTGTCCTTTGCCTAATTTAATTGTTAACCTGCCTGAGACCTGCTTCCATTTATATGCAAATAAAATGTAATGCCTGCCTTAGTGTTACCTAACGTGATTGCTTGACCTCTGGGGGTCAGCTGACTTCCTAACCTCGGCTTGGCTCTGCCGTGTTTTATTTCTTGTATTTCAAAATGTAGTTATGGTGAAAGATTTTTACCTCAGAGTCTAAACCCATGTTGCATTCAAAGGATATTTCTTATAGTCACTTATTTTAAAGACTATGCCATTGCAGTACCTAAGGCTGAGTCTATACATTTTGTTGTGTTTGCTGACATGTGAGCTGTTAGGCTTCTGAAGACTGGTTGGTGAAGTTAGGGGTCCAAGGCCTAATACACAGATGCATGTTGAGGATATCTTGGCTCTTTTGTTTCTCTTGATGCTTGACATATACGGTTTATGTTCTGGTGGGAAACAGCTATTCTGCACTGTGCCAGTGCATACTCTATAACCCATTCTTGAGTCTCTATAATTAAAAATATCCCGGGGATTTGAATTGAATGTTTTTTCTGATTATGCTGTTTCAGATGTAAGCTGTTTAAATTTTGGAAATATTTTCTTTTGGAAATGTTCTTGATTCAGAATGAGTTAGATTCTGGATACACCTGGGAAAATGGCCTACCAGCTCTAAGTTAGAAAGTCTGAGGCAATAAAAAGAGGGTCTTAGGTAGAACACATGTACATCTTATGTCTAAAATAAATGAAATAGGGACATTAAGAAGACAGTTTATCAGTTAAAAGAAAATGGAGCCCTTAATATCAAAGAAACTTAATAATCCACAAGTTTCTTTTCCAACAGGGACAGATTTTATACACATTTTGTACATGGATTGACTATATAGTTGTTGGGGACAAATATTCACATAGCATCTTTCTTCCAAAGAATTTGGATACTGGGTTGAGAACTTGAAATGAACACAGCCAAATTTACACAATTAAAAAAGAGAGACAGAGATAAGAGATGGTCACAGGAGGACAGGGAGGGCGGGGAGAATTCTATTAGGTAAGACAGCAGATACCAGTGAAATCAGGCGCCAGGGGAAAGGTTGCTGCAGACCCAGTGAGGCTGCTGCAGAAAGTCCCAGGCCTAGAGGAGCTTCGCTGTGGGCCTTTCCTCTGAGGGTGACAATCTTTCAGCACCCCATCTCTCTCCTCCCTAGCATTTTATTGAGAATAGGTAGGAGGAGGAGAGTTTTTGGGTCGGTAAGTGAAAAACTACTCATCTGAGGCCCATGCTCATTATAAGCAGAGGTTCTCAGCCTTGACAGAACTTGTGCTTCCCATCCAAAACATTTTGTTAACACTCTTTGCTGTCCCAAAATCACATTCATAGGTAAAATAATCTGCTTACACATACAACAAAGAGTGTCCGATTCTAGGATTCTAGCATGAAAGAAAAGTTAAAGTTATTTAAAATAAATTTCCTTTATTTTAATATGTAAATGCCTGTGTGCAACTACATAAGAATCCAGACAGACATAGTAACCACGCCCATGACAGCTACAGAGGCAGGCTGACACAGGAGTGCGATGTCAGAGTCTCAGATCCCTAGAGCAGCATTTCTGTCATGAAGTGACATTCTGAAACAGTGACAACTTGTGGTAAAGTCTCAAACAAAGCAAGGAATAACCTTCAGCAACTGGAAAATTGAGAGCATAATAAAATCCCGCAAATTGCAAAAGAATCTTCTGTATTCATATGTAAAGTGGAAGAAGGTTCTAGCTTAAAAAATAAGGTATTCATGGAATGAATGTGCAGTGGCTCATTTGAAAGTCACGAAGGGTGCGGCTGCAGGATGGCTCATTGTTGCTTGGGAACGCCGATGCATTGCAGGGCATGCAGCGGCCTTGGCTCTGCCCGCGAAATGTGTGTAGTACCCACCTCCGATAATTATTTTAACAATCAAAAGCACCCCCACAAAATTTTAAATATCCCCTATGGGCAGTTCTAGACCTCTTGAGAATCATTGCACCAGATCTCCCTAAATGCTCAGTGAAGGCCCAGGAGATGGTGGGCTGGGAGAACATAAAAAAATCCTAATGAGACCAGTGTTGGCCATGTAATTGGTAGCCCAGAAGCCCCTGCAGTAATGGGGTTGATACAGTCAAGCCTGGGTGCCCTGCCTGGGCGGCTGGGTGCTCTGTCACCATCAATCACTCTCATGTTTCCTTATTCACACCCTACAAAGAACGTTTGTTAATTCTCTCTTTGCTCTTTTTTATTCATCAGCTAGTTGTTGTTATGGAACGGGGGCGGAGAGGGGGGGAGGCCCCAAATTGAATTTATTTATTAACAAATTGTGTATTTATTCTTACGTGTTTAAACTTCAGTCGCCTTCAAAGTACTCTCCATTTGATGCAATACACCTATTGAGACTTTTTTTCTCACTGCTCAAAACAGTTTTTGAACTCATCAATTTTGGTGTTTTTTAGTGCTTCTGCCATTTTTTGTTTTACCTCTTCCACATCAGCAAAACGTTTCCCTTTGAGGACTTTTTTTCATCCAGAGAAACAAACAAAGTCGCTTGGGGTGGGGGGAGATCGGGTGAATAGGGAGGGTGGGACACAGGGAGCATGCCGTTTTGGGTGAAAAACTGCTGAACACTCAGCATGGTGTGGGCCGCTGTGCTCATAAATCACCTATCATAAAATGGGCAAGGTTTTGAAAGTCTTCAAAGAAATTTCACTGAAGCCAGCCTCTCACAACAACACCGGCTAGTACACTGACACAGGTGGCTTCCTAGAACACTAACCTAGCAGGGAAGCCTGTACTACAAGGGACCCACCTGCCAGAAGATAATTCCAGTTTTTGGGAGGGTTCCCCCCTTGTATATCTGGCCAAGGCTCATCCAGCTCCTCGCTTTGAAGTTTTAACCAGGATACCTTACAGAAATAATGCGGCACCAGGTGATTTTCACTGTGAGCTCATTGTAAGACTAACCTTCTCTTCTTAGATTAACATAAATGATAAACACTGAATCTCTCTGTATTTTTTTTCATTAAAATTATTGGAGTGACATCGGTTAATGAAATTATATAGATTCCAGGTATACAATTCTGTAGCACATCCTCTGTATATGGTATTGTGGGCTCACCAGCACAAGCCTCCTTCCATCACCATTCATCCCTGCTTTACCCTCTTCAACCTCTCCCAACCCCCTTTTCCCTCTGGTAATCACCATACTGTTATCTGTGTCCATGTTTTTTTTTTCCCCTTGCTTAATTCCTTCACATTTTCCACTCAGCCCACCAACCTCCTTCCCCTCTGACAGCTGTCTGTTCTCTGTATCTATGAATCTGTTTCTACTTTGTCTGTTAACTTATTTTGTTCATTAGATTCCACATATGAGTGAAATCATATGGTACTTGTCTTTCTCTGGTTGGCTCATTTCACTTAGCAAACACTCTCCAGATTTGTCCATGCTGTCACAAAGTGTAAGATTTCCTTCTTTTTTGTGGCCAAATAGTATTCTATTGTGTAAAGGTACCACAGCTTTTTTATCCACTCAGCTACTGATGGACACTTGGGCTGCTTCCAATCTTGACTTTTATAAATAACATTCTAATGAGCATAGTAGTACATATATTCTTTCAAATTAGTGTTTTGGGTTTCTTCAGATAAATTCCCAGAAGTGGAATCACTGGGTCATAAGTCAGTTCCACTTCTAATTTTTTTTCTAGATGTGTACTTTAATAAATATAAAGTATATAAACAATTAGGTAAGCTTGTGGAAAAGCTGACCAAGATACATAAATTATGAGATATAATTGTCCATCTAAATTTTCTATGTAGGTTTTTTTTGTTTACAGAAATATTTATTAAAGTTGTTTAGTGTACAATTTCTCGTTTGTCATTTCCGAAGTCCTTTATTGTAAAGACTGTTCTTTTGTCTGATGACAAAGAGCAGCCAGTGTCAGTGATTATTCTGGACCCCCACATTGGATAAATTCGATTTCTTCTTGAGACATAGGTCTCCTTCTATATTTCTGAGGTAAGGTTTTTATTATTTCTGCAGTGTCTGGTGGACCCTGATGCACCAGCCAATCTGGCGATTCACTTCCTTTAAAATGCTGTGAAATTGAAGAAGAGTGAGATGGTAATCCTGAGGATCTCAAAACTTCTGATACAGTGAGTTTAGGATGGTCTCTTCTGTTAGGGAACCTTATTAATGGAGTATGTGGCTTGATTACCTGAACGACCCTGATAGCAGACACCATCTTCCTGCCCATCATCTCCACTTCTAATCTTTAAAGGTAACTCCATACTGTTTTCCACAGAGGCTGCACCAATCTGCATTCCCACAAAGAGCGCATGAGAGTTCCCCTCTCTCCACATCCTCCCCAACACTGGTTGTTTATTTATTGATGAAAACCATTCTGACAGGTGTGAGGTGATATCTCATTGTAGTTTTAATTTGCATTTCGCTGATAATTAGTGATGTTGAGCATCTTTTCATATGTCTATTGGCTATCTGTATGTCCTCTTCAGAGAAGTGTCTATTCAAGTTCTTAGCCCATTTTTAATTGGATTATTTGGGGGTTTCTTAATGTTGAGTTGTACAAATTCTTTATAAATTTTAGGTATTAACCTCTTACCAAATATATCATTGGCTATTACGTTCTCCCATTCAGTGGGTTGTCTTTTGTTTATGTTCCTTTAACTGTGCAAAAACTTTAGTTTGATGTCGTCCCATTTGTTTATTTTTTTTCTTTTGTTTCCCTATCCCAAAGAGGTATGTCAGAAAAAAATATTGCCATGAGAAATGCCTGAGATTTTACTGTTTATGTTTTCTTCTGGGAGTTTTATGGTTTCAAGTCTAACATTTAAGTTTTTAATCCACTTTGAGTTTATTCTTGTGTATGGTGTAAAACAGTGGTCTAGTTTCTTTATTTTTCATGTATCTGTCCAATTTTCCCAACACTGTTTATTGAATAAAGTAACTTTATCCCATTGTATGATTCTTTCTTCCTTTGTCAAATATTAATTGACTGTGAAGGTGTGGATTTCTTTCTGGGCTCTCTATTCTGTCTCATTGATCTACATGTCTACTTTTATGTCAGTAACATGCTATTTTGATTAGTATGACCTTGTAGTATAGTTTGATATCAGGTAGCATGATTCCTCCAACTTTGTTCTTCTTTCTCAAGATTGCTATGGCTATTCAGGGTCTTCTGTGGTTCCATATAAATTTTTGGAATATTTGTTCTAGGTCTGTGAAATATGCCATTTATATCTTAATAAAAATAGTGTCGAATCTATAGATTGCTTTAGGTAGTATGGATATTTAATGATATTAATTCTTCCTATCCATGAACATGATATATGCTTGCACTCATTTCTTTCATTTTCATTTTGTTTTTTCAGTATCTTATAATTTTCTTAGTACAGCAACTTTACATCATTTGTTAAATTTATTACTAGGTATTTTATTTTTTGACGCAATTTAAATGGGAGTCATTTCTTGGTTTCCCTTTTTGATAGTTCATTATTGGTGCATAAAAATGTAACTGATTTCTGGACATTTATTTTATATTGTTACTTGACTAAATTCATTTATCAGTTCTAGCAGTTTTTGGTGGAATCTTTAGGGTTCTCTGTATACAGTATCATGCCATCTGCAAATAATGACATTTTTACTTCCTCCTTCCCAGTTGGGATGCCTTTTATTTTTTTCCTCTTGTCTGATTGCTGTGGCTAGGTCTTCTAGTGCTATGTTGAATAAGAGAGGTTAAAGTGGACATCCCTGTCTTGTTCATGATGTTAATGGGAACAGTTTTAGTTTTTGCCCCGTTGAGTATGATGTTGGCTTGGGTTTGTCATATGTGACCTTTATTATGTTGAGGTATATTTCCTGTATTTCCATTTTGCTGAGAGTTTTATAAATGGGTGTTGGGTTGACATGATTATGTGATTTTTATCCTTCATTCTGTTTATATGGTGTATCACTTTTATTGATTTGAGGATATTGTACCAATCTTGCATCCTTTGAATAAAGCCCACTTGATCATGGTGTATGATCTTTTAAATGTTTTGCTGGATCCAGTTTGCTAATATTTTGTTGAGTATTTTAGCATCTATGTTCAGCAGGGATATTGACCTATAATTTTATTTTTTTTGTGGTGTCCTTAGTTTGAATTAGGATAATGCTGGCCTTGTAAAAGGAGCTCGAGAGTCTTCTCTCCTCTTGAACTTTTTGCAAGTCTTAAAAGGAGAGGTCATTAGTTCTTCTTTGAGTGTTTGGTAAAATTCACCTGTGAAGCGATTTGGCACAGAGCTCTTGTTTGTTGGGAGTTTTTGGATTATTGCTTCAATTTCATTAGTTGTAATCTGTCCACTCAGATTATCTGATTCTTCCTGATTCAGTTTTGGAAGACTGTATGTTTCTATAAATTTATCTGTTTCATCCAGATTGTCTAATTTGTTGACGTGTAATTGTTGATAATATTTCCTTACAATACTTTGTATATCTTTGGTGTCAGTTGTTACTTTGTTTTAAATTTTAAATTTATTTATTTGTGTTTTTTCTTTCCTTTTCTTTCTTTCTTTCTTTCTTTCTTTCTTTCTTTCTTTCTTTCTTTCTTTCTTTCTTTCTTTCTTTCTTTCTTTCTTTCTCTCTCTCTCCTTCCTTCCTTCCTTCCTTCCTTCCTTCCTTCCTTCCTTCCTTCCTTCCTTCCTTCCTCTCTCTCTCTTTCTTTTCCTTCCTTCCTTCCTTCCTTCCTTCCTTCCTTCCTTCCTTCCTTCCTTCCTTCCTTCCTTCCTTCCTTCCTTCCTTCCTTTCTTTCTTTCTTTCTTTCTTTCTTTCTTTCTTTCTTTCTTTCTTTCTTTCTCTTTCTTTCTTTCTTGTTAAATGTTTGTCAATCTTGTTTATCTTTTCCAAGAACCAGCTCTTAGTTCCACTGATGTTTTGTATTGTTTTTGTAGACTCTATTTAGTTTATTTCTGCTCTGATTTTTATTATTTACTTCTACTCACTTTGGGCTTTGTTTGTTGTTCTTTTTCAAATTCCTTTAAATGTAAAGTTAGAGTGTTTATTTGATTTTTTGTTTGTTTGTTTGTTTCTTGAGGTAGGTCTGTAATGCTATGAATTTCCTTTTTGGGTCTGCTTTCACTATGTCCCATAGATTTTGGGATGTGGTGTTCTTATTTTCATTTGTTTCATGGTATCTTTTGATTTCTTCCTTGATCTCATTGTTAATCCATTCACTATTTAGTAACATGTTATTTAGTCTTCATGTCTTTGTGTGTGTTTCAGTTTTTTTCTTATCATTGATATCTAGTTTCATTCCATTATGATCAGAGAAGATGCTTGATATTATTTCAATCTTCTTAAATTTGAGACTTGTTTTGTGTCCTAACATGTGATCTATCCTAGAAAATGTTCCATGTGCACTTGAAAAGAATGTATATTCTGTTACTTTGAGGTGAAATGCTCTGAGGGTATCAATTAAATCCATCTTCTCTAGTGTATCATTTAAGGCAACTGTTTCCTATTGATTTTCCTTCAGGAGGATCTATACATTGAAGTCACTGAGGTGTTAAAATCCCGTTCTATGAATGTATTTCTGTCATTATCTCCCTTGATGTCCATCAAGATTTACTTTACATATTTAGGTGCCCCTATGTCGGGTGCAGTAATGTTTAAAAAAGTTATATCCTCTTGTTGGATTGTTCCCCTTATCATGATGTATTGTCCTTCTTTGTCTCTTACTATAGTCTTGGTTTTAGTATATATTGTCGATATAAGTATTACTACCATAGCTTTTTTTCTTTTCCATTGGCATGAAATATCGTTTTCTATCCCTTTACTTTTAGTCTGGGTGTATATTTTGTTCTAAAAGTGGACTTCTTGAAGACAGCATATATATGGGTCCTTTTTTCTTATCCATTGGGTACCCTAGGTCTTTTTATTTATTTTTATTTTTTTATTTAAATACATTTGTCTCCATTTTCCTGCCACAACTTTCCCCTGACCCACCCACCCTCGCCTCCCACCCTCAATCCTTCCCCACTTTGGCTTTGTCCATGGTTCCTCTATACATATTCTTTGATTTCACCCTTCCCCTTCTTTTCCCCGTTACACCCTCCCTCCTTCCTTCTTGCTACTATCAGTTTGCTTTTTTTTTTTCAATGTTGCTGGTTATATTTTTCTCGCTTGTTTGTTTTGTTGATTAGGTTCCACTTATAAGTGAGATCATATGGTATTTGTCTTTTGCCGCCTGGCTTATTTTGCTTAGTATAATGCTCTCCAGTTCCATTCATGCTGCCATGAAGGGTAGTAGCTCTTTCTTTCTGCTGCATAGTATTCCATTGTGTAAATGTACCATAGTTTTTTGATCCAATCATTTACTGATGGGCACTTAGGTTGCCTCCAGCACTTGGCTATTGTAAATTGCACTGCTATGAACATTGGGGTGCATAGGTTCTTTTGAATTGGTGTTTTGGGATTCTTACGGTATAATCCCAGCAGTGGAATCACTGGGTCAAAAGGCAGTTCCATTTTTAGTTTTTTGAGGAACTTCCAAACTGTTTTCCACAGTGGCTACATCAGTCTGCATTCTCACCAACAGTGCACTACATACAGTTCCCTTTTCTCCACAACCACACCAGCACTTGTTGTTTGTTGATTTGTTTATGATGGTCATTCTGATTGATGTGAAGGGGTAGCTCATTGTCATTTTAATTTGCATTTCTCTGATGGCTAGTGATGCTGAGCATCCTTTGATTTGTGTCTGGGCCCTGTGTATGCCCTCCTTGGGAAGTGTCTGTTCAGGTCCTTTGCCCATTTTTTAATTGGATTGTTTATGTTACTGGAGTGGAGTCATGTGAGTTCTTTATATATTTTGGAGATCAAACCATGTCTGAGGTTTCATTGGCAAATATATTTTCCCATAAGGTTGGTTCCCTTAATTTTGTTGATGTTTTTCTCTAGTCATGCAGAAGCTTCTTATTTTGATGAGCATGACACCAGCACAGAAATAACCAGGTAGATCAATGAAATAAAATAAGCATTCTAGAAACAAATGCATATATCAGTCTAACAATGTAATATATGATTAAATTGATATTTCAAATCAATGGGGAAAATAAAGCTTATTCAACAAAATAAAGTTCATGGACCACTATTACTTGAAATAAAACAAATATAGAGCCTTATTTTACTTATTCTACAAAAAATATTCAGGTGAGTTAAAATCCAATGGTAAAATCTAAAGAGTTTTAGGAGAAAATACAA